TTAAATTTGAACATATAAAAAAATATAATAAATAGCTATTCACTAGAGTAATATCTTATAATATATTTAATAATTTTACAGCTATTGTAATATAATAAAATACACTAATAAAGTATAAATATAAACTTATTAATTTATTTATTAAATTATATATTAAATTATTAAAAGCAATTATTACTTTCTTATATAAATATAAAAAGATTATTTTTTAGAGCTGTATATTTTCTTGATTTTTTATTTATTTTTTGCTTATTTTCAGTTTGTAAAGCCTTTATTTCTTGTTAAAAATGAAAGTTTGTATTTATTGCTATTTATATAACTTTTCTAAGATATTAGTGATAAGAGACTAAACTAAAAAAAACATTATTATCTTTTAAAGACTTTCTGGCCTTTAAACCTAACAACTAATATAGCGAGAGTTTTGAGGTATTTAAAAAGTTAATAATATTAAATTTTAAGTAAGTAATAATAGTATTAATATACAAAATTAAAAAGTAAATTTTTTAAAAACTTGATATTAATTAAATGGCTTAAAATTAGCTCTTGCAAAATTATTATATAAATTTTTTAAAGTAAAGACTGTTTTACGTATAAAAAAATGAAGTATAAAAAATTCTATTTATTAATATAGTTATTTTGAGCTTTTATTATATTTTTAACTAATTTATTGTATTTACATTTAAGCAGTCCAAAAATATTAACATTTAGTGAATAAAAAAGATAAGATATATGTAGAGATATATAAAGACAGATAATTATATTCTCTATATAAAATTTATTAAATTTAGCATTTCGATAGCTTAAATAACTATTAAGAACGAGTAATCATTTTATGTCAATTATGTAACGTTTTAAATAAGACTTAAATATCTCTTTTAGCTAGCAAAAACCTATTTTATCAGTTTTTTAGCTATTTGCGCTATTAGTAAGTTCCTAATCTTAAAAAAGATTAGACTCTTAATATTAAAGAGCCTAATATTCTTTTTCTTTCAAGATAATTACTGGCAGAATAGAAATTTCTTTAAAACTTATATACTTTATGATTGTAATCTATTTACATTTTTTTATAAATAATTATATAAAGTTATTTAATTTTTTTTCCTATAATTATAATTTTAGAGGTTATATAGAGTCCTATTACAAAGTTAATTTTATTAAAGTTTCAGATCTTATTTTTTATAAATGTTATATTCTTGAATAGCTTTGTATACAGTCTTAAACTATAGTTTTATTATCTTTAGATTCTTTTGTTTTAATAATATATAATTTTTTGATTATATCTTCAATTTAGTTCAAAACGGCATCTAACCCCAAAAAATTTAGTTAACTTTAAAATTATAATAATTGCATGTACGTTCTTGTTGAATATTTTAAAGTAGTAACAGAGGTGCGCAATTCAGCTGTAGATTATGTTATATTAATATAATAATTTTTTTAAAAATAAAAAAACAATTAAATAATAAATAATTAAACTCTATATATAGAAGATAGATTCCTTTATTATTAGTTAATTCTCTAATTAATTATTTTATTAATAAAGTTTTAATTATTTACTCTATTAAATTCTTTAACGTCCCGAATCTGTAATTTTAAAATAAATAAAGTCTTTAATTTTTTTAATTTTTTATTAATAAATATTAACAATGAAATCTAAACCATATAAATTAATAGACTAAATAAATATATTATATTATAATAACACCTATATGATAATAACAAAAATTAGAATTTTTATTTAATATTTTATTTACTGATTAATATCTCCATAAAATTATATATTAAGTCTTTAGATTTAAAGATTAATTTTTAAATATAATAGACGTTTCAAAAAAAATTAGAGGAATAATTATATTAAATAAATTAATATTTTATAAATATAATACTTACTATTGATATAAAAAGAAATTATCAATACTAAAATAATTCTAATAAATATAAACTTATAAAAATTGTATAAAAAATTTAAAAAAGTAAAAATATTAAATTTTATTATTATAAATAAATTTTTTTAATATAAATTCGCTGAAAGTTTAGTAAGTATTCTACCAAGATTAAAAAAGTAAAAAACTATATAGCTTTATATTAACTTTTTAATAGAAATTGTTATATAAATTAATAAAAAGATTTTGAATTATGTGCTGTGACCCATCCTAGCTTAGTCATACTTCTCGCGGTGATGCTAACGTAATTCCCGCCCGAGCTGCGCACCCCATCTCAAATCGCGTCTTCCTACCCACCTTCTTTAACCACCTACCATGCCACCAATTAGCACAGAATCTCGGCCTGAATTAGACCAGCAAGAGGGCAAGATCTTATTAGCCCTACAGGCTATGCAGAAGGGGCAAATCAAATCTATTCGCGCAGCAGCCAGGCTATTCGGCGTACCTGAATCAACACTTCGCAATCGTGCGCGCGGTATACAATCTCGCGTCGATACACCCCAAACGGCTATAAATTGACCCAATTAGAAGAGGTTTCGTTTACTAAATGGATACTCTCTATGGATTCGCGAGAAGCAGCACCTAGGCCAGCTGCTGTGCGAGAAATAGCTATTATTCTCTTAGCTGCGTGTGATAGCTACCTTCCGTCTACTGTTGGCAAGAATTGGGTATCAACCTTTATTAATTGTCGCGAAGAGCTTCGCTCGCGCTTCTTAAAACGTTATAACTACCAGCGCGCCCTAAATGAAGACACAAAATCACTACGTGCGTGGTTTGCAACCGCACAGCGGGTTATCGATGAGAACGGTATACAATCAGAAGATATTTACAACTTTAACAAGACAGGATTTGCAATAGGTCTTATATTTGCACAGAAGGTAATTACGTGAGCAGATTACTATAGTCGCCGTTACCTCCTACAGCCAGGAAATCGTGAATGGGTTACTGCTATTGAAGCAATCTACGCAGATGGTTATTCGCTACCGCCCGGTATTATCTTTAAACGCAAAGTAGCTATTGCAGGGTGGTTTGAGAATCTACCAAGAGATTAGCAATTAGAGGTCTTAAATAACCGCTGGACTACTACTGAGATTGCTTACGCTGGCTACAAAAGCTGTTTATCCCATCAAAAAATTCGTGCGTACGTGGCCGCTTTCGCCTACTGATTCTTGATGGCTACGGCAGCCATTTTACGCTCCAGTTCGACCGAATCTGCGCAGAAAATTATATTATTACTCTTTGTATGCCTGCGCATTTTTCGCATTTACTGCGACCGCTTGATGTTAGGTGCTTTGCAGTATTTAAACATGCGTATAGTCACTTTAGAAGTGATCTTGCGCCCAGAAGATATAACCATATCGACAAGTTTGATTTCTTAGATAGTTACTAAAGCGCGCGGCTAGAGGCCTTCCAACAGCCAGCTATCATTCAGAATACCTTTGCAGCTAGTGGCCTAGTGCCAGTCGATGCAGAAAGGGTGCTTTTAAAGCTTAGTATATCTCTACTAACGCCAACACTACCAGGAAGCCGGCCAAGCAGCAGATATAGCCAATTCATCCCCAAAACACCAAAGACTGTTATCTAACTACAAAAGTAAGCTTCATTGCTTAAAGAACCACTAAAGAAACAGTCAAATAGCCCTCCAACACCATCAAAAGTTATACTAGATCAGATTATCAAAAGGTACACCATAACAATGCACAATGCAGCACTTCTTGCGCAGGAAAACACGAACCTACGCGCTGCGAACGAGAAAGTCAAGAAGAACCGCAACCGATCGACTAGACAGATACCCGATACCCTGCCAAGAGGGTTTGACTGTTGAAGAGGGTCTACAGCTAATTGCGCAGCTAGATTTACCTACAGAAGCACCTACGGTAGAATCGCATGCGCAGGGCGAATTGCCTATACAGCAAGATCAGTTGGCAAGAAGGGCCTCAAGGTATAGTGGATGCAGGGAGGTTGGCTACAGGATCAATACGTGTAAAAATCGTTATATTTAGCAGAATTAATACGTTCTGGTAGATAGAAACGATTTTGAAATTTCGTAGTAGGGTTAGGTGCGCAGCTCGGGCGGGAATTGCGTCATTTCCCTGTAGCTGGTAATGAAAATTCCTTTTCTGTCTTGTTTTTGTTAATAACTATATTAAATTAATTATTTTATACTAAAAGATTAAATTACCCCTCCGTCAAACTAAATTATATAAGTATTTAAATGAATTTTACTATTTAAATTTTCTATGACTCTTATTAGTTATTCTAGGAACTAGTAGATCTTCGCCTAGCTATATAGCCCTAAATAAAAGTCTTTTAGTTATATTATATTACTGGCGAGCCATCCGTATCCGGAGACTTAGATACATTAGATAATAATACTAAAAACCAGACGCTTCTATACCAGGATATACTGAGTCCGAGCCATTAATTGATTAACCAAAGAATCCTTTATTATCATATTCTCATTCTAATTATTATTCCGCGATAATAGAGGACGACGATTCAGACTCTAATAATTAGACTAGTAAATAATTTAAAATCTAACTATTATTAGAATATAACTTGTCGTTAGAAGATAGCTCGTAAAAAATATAATTATAATAATATAAATAAATAATTAAATTAAATTTAAATTTATACTTTTAATAAAATCGTCCGTAACTAGTGTGTGACAAGTCCCACGGGACTCCCACGGGACTTATGGGACTTCCCACGGGACTGTAAACAGTGCAAACAGCTAAAGACTGGTGAGTAGCATAAATTGTGCATTTTTCCTGGTAATTTTAAATATTATATATACAATATTACTCCTGATAGCTCTATACATTCTTAGAGATAATAAAAAGATAGAATATGATTATTTAAATGAAAAAATAGGCCTAAATTTACTTATATCTTACATGGTAGTCATCTAAATTCTTTGGGCGTTTCTTTGTCCTTCTAGACGTCCGCATTTGACTCAAACCCTCGTTATTGATTGATATAGAAGGCAATTGGGGTTCCGTCTTATTATCATCATCTTCTTCTTCTCCTTCTGCATGAGAAACAAAACTCTTTCGTCTCTTACCTAAGCACACGCTGGCTTGGTTGGGTTAGTGTATAGACTATAAAAAGATCAAAGTTATGCTGTTCCTCATTTTTATCTTCATTATCCTCTTCATTGTCACTGATCGGATCCGGGGTATACTGAGCTAGGTTCGCCTCTCTTTTCAAAGCCGTTAGCTGTCTCTTTTCGGAAATAGGCTCTTTCTCTTCGTCAGATTCACCTGTAAGATCTGTAGTATCAATATCAAATTGAGAGATACAGCGAAACATCATTAGGTGTTGTATCGTTGTCTCGTGGAGATGACTCCGTCGATAGTAGCAAAGATCACGAGCAGAGTTAAAGAGACGTTCTACACCAGCGCCAGGAGCAGGGATAGTAAAGACATCGCGTGCTAGACTTGCGAGTATAGGATATTGGTGCTCATTCTCTCTCCAGAAGTCACAGGGTTATTTATTTATCGTCCCTGTTAGGTAAAGTTTAGAATGAGAGATACTTTAGATTGAAGAAACATACCACTATTAAGATAATGGGTAAGCTCGTTATCAAAGGCTGGTCCAGCCTGCTTCTTTTGGGACTGGGAGGATTCAAGAGGACTATCTTTATCGAAAAGAATCTCAAGATCATCCTTCTGTGTCGACGGTAGACTGAACTACAATTGCCGTATCTCCTTCTAGCGCTTTTGGTAGGGCTCAAGGGATTTTTCAACATAATCACGGTAGGTTTTACGCCATCGGTAGTTATTATCTGACCATTCAGGCTTTGAGAAGAACTGTAACTTATGCTGTGGTACAAGGATAGTACCGACGGCAAAGAGATTTCTATGAATGTTCTCGGTCTGGCTATAGTAGTCAGAAAGCTTTTAACGACCTGCTTCGAGTGCTTCCCGCATCGTTGTCTTCCGAGCAACTCGTTTCCGCTTCAGTTGGCTGATAGGGAAGTCTGTGGTCGAATAGCTTGTTGTAGATTCTGAAGATTTGATAGATTGTAACATCTTTAATCTTAGAGATAGCCGTAGTCCATCGATAAAATGGCTGGATAATACAAAGAAGATAGTCAACCTGTCTCCACTCCTCCGAATTCAGTTTAAACTGAGGATAATTGTGTTCACTGCAGTATTCATCAAACTCTTTTGATAGACGTCTAACGCGCTGGAGCATCAAAAATGTTGAATTCCATCGCGTTTTGACATCTTGGATAGGCAGAAGTTTTGGCTCTTTGCTTTAGAGATTCAAAAAGGCTTCTTGCCGCTGGGGACTAGCGTTGATATCTATAGCTAGACCACGGACCTAACAACCTTAGTTAGTAGATAGGCTATTTTAAAATAGAAGTAAGACGAGACATACCTTTGCAAGAGTATAGATGATACCACGCTTCTGAAGATAGCGGAATGAACTATCCCGTTCAGCTGACCACTGCTGGCTTGGAATGTCGTTCTTTAAGTCAAGCTTCATCATTGCTAACAGATCCTTTAGACTTAGTTGAATGACATGGGCTAAGCAAGGAATCCGGACAATTAGCGTATGATCCGCAAGATTGAGGGACTTTATTGATTCCTACATACTTTCAAGCAGAGTGTTGTTGTTCAATGCATTATCAGTGATAATAGTAAGTACCCGATCTATAACCTGATGCTCCTGTAAGCGTTCAACTAGAACACTACTGAGATTCGCGCCAGAGTGCTTCCCATGCAAAGGTTCAAAGCAAAGAAGAATTTCCCGATATTTCCACTTCTTATCAAGGAAATAGCCAGTGATTGCCATAAAGTATTGTTGAAAGGGAGACGTCCAACAATCAAGAGCAATCGAAATCTTCGCATCTGATGGTAGCTCTGGTAGGATATAGCGCTGGTCTTCTTGGACGATACTTCGAAGCCGGCGTCGAGCAGTTCGGGGAGTCAGAAGTATAGGCTTAGACATAGCTAGCTGGGCCATTGATATAAGATCGGCAAAGTCCTTATGCGCAAGTATCCGGAAGAAAAGATTTGACTGGGCAATAAATCTGACTTGACGTCGCTTCCACTGCTCGTCATTGAAAGATGGCTTCGAACGCGGTAAATTTTGTGCCTAGATAGCATAAATATATCGATAGTTTAGCTAAATAGAAGATAGAGGATTGATATATACCGCGTATTCAATTGATTGCCGCAGAGTCTGTTGTCTTGTTGTACTGTTACCAGCTTGAACGCATTTTCCAGCTGCAAAGTGGCGTTTCATTGAATTAGTTCCATTTGCAGTCTGCTGTAGATGTGAAAGGGGTTTTCTACATCTTCGGCACATAACTATCGGCTCGCCGGTAATATAATGTGCCACTTGGTCAAAATGCTACCATATATCGGCGGAATGCTTTGTATCCTATCGCATTCTCTTTTGATTCGGTCCTGTCTTTGTAGAACACTCGGTTTGTAGCTACCAGATAATAAAGTCATCTTTATGCATTTCGGTGTATTTAACCCAGAGAGCTTCTTCCGATCAGGGCCAAAACGCTCGAGGGTCGAAGGAAGGGTGAGTGGCGGTATAAACTCGGAAACTGGTGTTAAGGCAGTAGTTTATTAGTTAGACAAGCTACCTGCTATAGAGATAGTATCGGATTCGAAATCGGCAAGAGGGTCAATTGGATCACTTTCGTAGAGAGAGGAGGGCCCAGCGTTAGAGAATTGTCCGAATTGAGACATAATTCAGAAGAAAGGATTGTATAGTCAGAATAGTAAAAGAAGAAAGATTAGTTAGACATACCTTAGTGAATTTGAAGTTGCGACCGAAGGAATTGGACGAGGGCCAGGGTCAATTCAGCTGAAGACATAGTTACTCTATCATAAATTTTCTAAGAGACCCATATTAGGCACTCTTCTAATTGGTTAGTCTCGTGGGAAACTCCTATACTCCCGTGGGAAGACCCATGGGACTAAAAAGTTCCATCGATTTTCAGTCAATTCGATCCCCCCGAGGTTGTGATAAAAAATATTTTACCTATGCATAGATCTATACACCTCTTAACCTCCCCTACATAATTCTACTACTTCAGAAGGTAAAAAAGGGAATTCGATAATATATACTACTCAGAATATCAGGAATTAGCCAATTTAGTTTAACAGGGGCGGTACAAGTATTAAAAAGGGGATCTCGTTAAGGATAGTAGTATTGTACTTATATAATTATATATATTTCTTGCTCCATATGCTGTTACACTTTAACTACCGCCGTATCCCCTAAGAGTAACCACTAAAGGGCTAAAATATTTCAAAAAGGAGGGGAGCCTATAGTTTCTAATACGCAATAATCTATATACGAGTAGATTTCATTAAATTTCGTAAGGATTGTAGCTGAATTAAAAGAGATATTAATGTAGAAACTAAAACACTGTTTAATAACGGTAAGTTAAAAACGTCGGATGAATCATCATTTTATCCATCCTAATTAGGAGATTTATGCAAAAATATACGTTTGGCGGGACTGATGGGAGTCCCACGGGACTCCCACGGCAGAACTAAGAGACAGGGTCTTAGTCCCATGGGAGTGGAACTAAATTTTTGCTAGTCCCGTGGGACTTGTCACACACTATCCGTAACGCCCTTAACGCTTAAAATGTGTGTTTTAAAGCAGCTTATTAATTACATTAATTAATTAATAAATAATCAGAATTAGGACTAGCGGGATTAAAACTAATAATCTGACCTCCTAGGGTCCGAATTTGATGAAGACGCTCTACTTGATATAGAGTTTGACCTATAACTCGATTTTCTCATCATACCCCAGGAGCCAATCAAATCCTACGAATCAAATACGTTTTCCTTACCACTAACTGACCGCCGATTTGTCTCAGAGCAAGAAACTATGGATATTATTAACGATTTCACTCGGCAGCACGGCTACACCTTGACTATGAAGAATTCAAAAAAGCTCTCGTCAAGACAATTATCCTTTCCGTGCAGCTAGTAAGCGTGTCGCCGGCACGGGTAGCGGTACTCCGACCACACTTTGGCTTAGTTAACGTATTCCACAAACGAGCGGCCACCTGTGTATTCCCATAGAAAATGGCCATTTTATAGACTTGAATAACACAGCCACAATACATTATTCATGGATAAATAATAATTATTATATATTATAATACTTCATAGTATATATAAATTTCATTATTAAGCCTTTACAATACCTAATAATCTAGGTAATATAAATTACAGTCATATTATTGTATTTTATAATAAAACCCGCCATACAGCCTTCAAAAAATGATTTAAAATTCATAAAAACCCATTTTTATACTAAAGGTAGCCACTTATATACCCCATTGTTTCCACAGATTCTAGGATTTTATTGTAGTTGTGTTATTCAAGTCTATAAAATGGCCATTTTCTATGGGAATACACAGGTGGCCGCTCGTTTGTGAAATACGTTAGTCAACACTTATTGCTTAGTCAACGTAAATTTGCCCGCTTGAGCGAGTCACCTGATTGCGGACCAATGGTTGTGTTGTTATCGAGCAGACTCGGACGAAAGCACTCTTTATATGCTCTGCTTGCCGTACTGAGGGCCATCGGATGAATGAAAAGGCATGCCCAAAGTGTTATCTCCTGAGCCAAGGACTTCCCGATACGGACTTCCGATACGAACTTCCCAGTACAGAAAACCCTTCCTGAATGCATTCCTGCCTGAGGCAGAGCCTCAGTTAGTACATAGAGGCCTTAGATTCTCGCTCCTAGATAGCCTTTCTTCTCCATGGGAAAATTCCTTGACTACGAGTCATAAACAAACTAGTCTTTTACTAGGCTCCTTTGTAGACCGTCACACAAAGCGGCGAAAAAAGACTGCCTAATTTGTATATTTTTTTTCTATTTCTTATTGAACTTATCTGTATTAACGTAATCGGACACCGAGCTGGCGGCAATCCACTACCACAAGAAAGCACGCCCGTGTATTCGACCAAGTCAACGAATTAAAGCCTCTCAACGCCATACAATTGCAGTTTATTATTTCGTTATAGGTAGTCGATTTATCTGAGCATTTCAACCGATTATGGACTTCCCTATTACAATTGCTGCAGCGTGGTGGCTGGCGTGTAGAGGTTGAAGCTGCTGCATGATTTGCTATTTCTCGCTCTCTTTCCTGAGCCTTTTCATGGCCTTTTTGACCGGTCAAACTGTCTCCCTCTTGAATAAAGCGTCGTGAGACCTTTTTGGCTCTAAAGCCCTGAGTATTTTATTACAGCTAAATAATATGGATTATATGGTATATTTGCATGCTATACTATCTATCTTTTAGTTATAAATAGGGTATATGTACGCGATCTCGTGGCTTAACTACTAGGTCCACGCGTAGTTAAAAATCAACCTCTTATATAGAGCAAATACTGTGTAATACAGGCCTACTGTGGTGGTGAGGTCCTTATCTATGGACGGGTGTGCGCCCTTACTACGCACCGCCAACCGCCGCGACCGGCGACTGACTAAGCAAGATGGTCACGTGGGGCGTGCCAGGAGCGAGAGGGGTGTGCCTGTAACACTGCCCATTAAAGAATACCATAAAATAGACCTTTACTAAATTTTTAAATTTTTTTAATATCTTAAAGTTTCTAAATAACTTAATTTTTTAATTTTAAAATCCTTAGATCTGTCTTTTAGATAACAATCTTCGTAAAATTAATAGACCTATTAAAAGTGTAAGAAATAAATTTTTCTAAAATTTATATAAAAATCTATATTCCCCTAGCTAGCTAACCTTAATACTTTGAATATCAATATACTATTAAAATTACTACTAGAATGAAAACTTTTAATTACCTTTATAAAAAAATTAATTTTCTTACTAAATACTAATAATAATAATACTAATTTTTATTTTATTTAACGTAATTCCTGCCCGAACTGCGCACCCCAAAACACATAGTAAATGTGATAATGATCAACAACCATACGTTATTTTTACTTGGATATTAAGATATAGACTTTTCTTAGTTAGTATGTAAGATGACACATCCTTAGTTTTAAGCAGTTAATATGATTATTTCGATGCTTTACTATATATAGCGGTGAGATAAAATTATATTAATTTCTTACTTTAATATTTTTAAAAGTTTTTAACGTTTTGTAGTCCTGGCTGTTTTATAATTAATATAAACAAGATATCTTAATAAAGATTTTTAATTAGATTATATAATTAATATATTACATAAGTGATATCTAAATATATTAGTTTATACTTAAAGATTAATAGTATATACCTCTGAAACCTGTTTGCTAGCACCAGCCTCGTTACCTTTTGTATCCCCTTATGGGTAGTGAGCAGCTGTCCAACGTCTATCTATCTTTGTACCTCTAGATCGCATCTTGCTTCGTAATATGCTGTATAAAATATTATTACATGGTTAAGGTCCTCTTTTCCTCTGTTACACTTGGGGCACATCAGGGATTCCTATTCTGGTATTTGTGCTTACTGTAGGAAAGCTGCCAGTCCCACCTTGCCTGTCCGGGGTTGTATTAATACTGAACTCTCGGCCTTGTGCAGACTAACCTGAAACTTGAATAGATCCTTAGTCTGTATTAGACTTTTTTAGATAGGTTCCTGTGGAGTCTCTCTCTCTCTCTCTCTTCTTTCTATCTCTTTAAAACAGTTTCCTATATTTTGCGCTTTTCGGTCTACTTCTTCGCTGCTGGCGGTAGCGCTCATCCTACTCTTTCCTGTATGTAGACCGTTGGTCGGGGTGCTCTGTTTTCTGCCCTTTTGTATATCCGTTTTGTGAGTTCGCTGCTTTCTCGTCTCGCAGCCCTTGCATGGTACCTGGCCAGTTTTCCTGTGAGGTAGTATTCGATTGGTAGAGTATAAGCGAGTATCTCTAGGGTGAACGTCAGTGTAGCTCTAAAGGCCCCCGTGATCCTTCGTAGACATCTGGCCTGGACCTTCCAGGCCGGGCGGAGAGGGGGTGTGCCAAGCGTAAC